TTAAGTAGTAGTATTGTTTATTATATTACTATNTATATATACTATATTATTATTATATATATATATATATATATATATATATATATATATATATATATATATACACTATTTTTGAAGCTTTAAACTTTATAAATAAAGATGAAAATATATTTTAAGGTTGTCACACAGATTTTCAGTATTGAAACCACATTTCTCGACATTATTTAAAAGTAGGCTCTAATTTGATTGTTTAGAGCCTAGGCTCTATATAAACCGTACCCTTTAAAAAATGGGCAGCTTTCAACTTTTTTATTCGGGAGAAAGCTGCCCCAAAAAATTCTTCGTCCTTCTCATCCTCCTGGGGAAGATTAAATAGGCAGTCTTCAACCTTCGCATCGGTGAAGAATGAGGCAAAATTTCCCCTACAACATTAAATAAATGTATGAACTTCTGTTAAAAAGCAAAAAGGTTAAATCATATTTGTAAATTCTGAAGCATACGCATGTTTTCTATGCTTTCGGAACTTTTTATTAAAAATATGAGCCTTCAACCTAGGGCGAGCCTCTCTCTATCTTATAAGCCTTTGTTTTTTTTATTTTTTCCTTTTTTCTCTCAAAGTGTTTACCTCTCTCTCCCTAGACTGTCTCTGTAGGAGCGTTCTCCTCTCTTTCCATTAGATCCTACTCTCTTTTTTCCTCTCCCCTAGAACCTCTTATGATCAATTTGTTGGGTGTGTCGGGCAATTAAGGCCGTCCTTGTAAATGATCTTGCCGTCCTTGTAAATGATCTTATTATGATCAATTTGTTGGGTGTGTGTGGCTATTAAGGCCGTCTTTGTAAATGATCTTATTGATATAGTAGAACATGAACTCAATCAAAACGTAGTTATATGTGGACCATACTAACAAATATCAATGATGTTTGTTGATATCGGATTAAGCTTTACGAGTTAGACCAGTTTGGTTGGGAAAACCCATGTTACATGGACATAAAGAATAAATTGATAAGAGTTATGGTGGGTCATTCTTGATGTGGTCGGAGTATGCCTGTAATAGTGAGCAGATGGACTGTGTGACCATTATGTGTGATGAAGACCTTAAGAGATGGGGCCAAAGCCTTATCCGCGTATCATCACATGTGTGATGAAGACCTTAAGAGATGGGGCCAAAGCCTTATCCGCATACCATCACACAACATGCACAATGATAACCATTTTCGGAAAAGCGAACCACCTTTCAGAGTGAAGCTTGTGCATGTGCGAGAGATAACCCCTATACATCATAGAGCAATTGATTGCATCTAAGTCTAGATGACATTGATTTCGTCTCTAGGGGGTCGTTTGGATACCTGAAAATATATTGTCTGTGAAATATATTATTGGTGTAATACATTACTGCGTAATACATTACATGCAAATGGATTGTTTCTGTTTGGTTAGTATTTAGATACAACATGGTAAATACATTGCAGTTAGATTATGCGATTTAATATGGAATTGTCTACATTTTACTGGACTTAGCAATTTAATATGGAATTGTCTACAAAGAGACCATTTATCTTTTGTATGTACAATCATTTTTGTTCTTTAAATTTCAAAATGGGTGGTTGTACTAGTGTCATTGAATAAATACAAAATTTCAAAAAAAAAATTTACTTCATCATGACTCACCCCAAGCCATCCAATTTAACATCTAATATTTGAGAATGATTGTGACCTCCATCCACAAAAGATAAATGGTCTATATTCCTATTTAATATTGAAATGCATAGATAGCATGACTATACCATGCTTGTCATGCCTCAAAAAATAATAACTTAATTGTGTGAATTAATATTGATCATAAACATAATTAATACTGGTTATAAGCATTGAGTAAACTATTTGAGTCACAACCTTTAAATATTGTTAATTTTAATATTGGTCATAAACATAGTCACAACCTTCAAATATCGTTAGTTTGTAGCTTAAATAGTAAATGGTGATGTATTTTTAAAAAAATTTATTGTGAAATGGTAAAATATTTTAAAAATTAGGTTGGGATATTGGAAGAGGCAAAAAAAAATATAGCTAATATATTGTAATAATTTATCACTTCTTTATTTGTATCTAAACCCTATGCCAAAAAATCCTTTTTTTTTTTTTCCACTTTCTTACAAAATCTTGTGTAATTTATTTCCATTTTTTTACTAATTTATTTCCATTTTCTTACTGTTGAAGTGTACATGGTAAATATCATATTTCCTTGTAATATGTTTCATTGTAATATGTTTATTTCAAGTATTTTGGGACATCTTGTGTAATTTATTTCTATTTTCTTATTGTTGAAGTGTACATGATAAATCTCATATTTCCTTTTTTACTGTAATAGATTTTCAGGTGCCCAAACTGCCCCTAAGGGAGAACCTGAAATCTAGTACTATAACCCCTTACCTATTGGCTAAACTTTAGTGACCCACTAATGAGCCCTGCATGGACTGTGGATCATGGTCAACACTTGGTTTGAAAAAATAAGTGTGGACCGTGATCCACAGTAGAAGGTAAGATGCCCCAGGGTATATTTATTCCTAGACCATATGGATCATTTTTCAATCAAAGTATTTAATTATGTTTGTTTTAATGTTATATGATTTTTAGAATTGTTATTTGAATTTTTCTTAATATCTGGATATTTTACTTATCAAATTTAGATTTGTAAAAATAGAGATATTGATTTTACATTGATTTAATTATTTAAATATGATTTTATGAATGTCTAAAATCATAATATTAGGGCCAATTAGATATATGGGCCCACCATGTCAATTAGGTGGGGCCTATAGAGTGCCACTTAGGGTACATGCCCCACCTTGTGAAGCCTGCTTTGTAAACTCAAGCTCATGGCTCAAGGGAAAAGATCTCCTATGTTTTGGAAAGTTTGTGCTTTGAGGAAGCTTTGAATCAAATTTTGGTATATGTGAGACGGTTTGTGCATAAAATAAAAAAGCACAATATTATCATATAGTATTTTCTTATTTAAATTAATTAATGGGACAATAGTTTAAGAACAAAATGGTTTAAATAGAGAATAATGGTTCTAACACATTCCATATAATCTTGATGGCGTAGTTATAGAATTGATGGCTCATATCTCTTACCCCACAAGTCAACCAAGATCAATGATGCATATTCAATCTCACAAAAAAAAGTAACCCATAAAAACCCTAAAAAACTCTAAAACCCCTTGAAACACTACAAAAAAGGGATGGACCCCATTCAATATTCTCTATACTATATCTATTCTTTCTCTTATAAAAAACTCTCTCTCTCATAAGCCCACATAGGGGGCACACGCCTCTCATAAAAACTCTCCCTTTGATGAACAAAGGGGCACACCCTACTCTTGATCTCTTGGATCTCTCTCTCCTATCTTGTGATGTGAAACTAAGGGTTTAAGGTGTAGTACAGGAGATGATATTTCTCTCAACTAGATTATTAATGGATTCTACCTAAGTTTGAGATTTGATTGAAAGAGTTCTTATAGAGTTCTTATTCCATTGGAGGGTTTTAGCATAAATTTCTTTCCCATTATTGAGATTGAAGGTTGACCATTGATCCCACGCCATCAGAAAATAGTGACTCGATGTAAGATATAAAAAGCCCGGTTGAGATAATCTCCGACACTTTTTTTTGTTTCTTGCATATTTATTTCTTGTGTCTTTTATTATTCCCAAACATAGTTTGTGTCTTTCTTTTTGTTATTGAAAGAGGTTTTATGTGCCATCAAGTTTTGATATCCTAGATTTATTTATTTTATTTTATTTGAAGTTGATTTATTGTAAAAAGACTACTTGTGGGTGATCAAAGCCGTGAAGAAAAAAAAAACAATAGAATAGAATAGTAAAAGAAGAAAAAACAAGAGAATATATATTCCGACTAGATCACACAAGTCCTTTCACAATTTACAAACATATTTCAAAATGATATATTGTACCTTGACGAATATTTGTGGAATCAAACAATGTTTATAAGCACTTCAAAGTGAATTATTAATTTTTTCTAACAAGTTTTGGTAAATTAATCAAGCCATGTAGAATTCAGTAATGTTCATGATCAAATTAAATATGAAGCTGTGTGAAGTGATCAATGTAGGTGAAATTGCACGATTTTTAAGATTAATTTACAATAAGTTGATAGTTTTTGAAACAAACAATTTCCCCACAAACAGTTCCCCACAAATGTGTTTTACAGTTATTTTTACAATCAGTTTACAATAATTTTTAACGTAATACTATTGAATTAGATTCAATAGTAATCAAATAATCGTAAATTTATTCATTCCCCTCTAGGAATTATGTTCCTGAGCTTTGTTGAACATACATTTAACTCCAGACCTTCTTCCTGATAATGAAAAGGGCCAAATGCAGCAGTGTTTGCAACGGTACCTACAGAACACTTGAGCAACCCTGAGCTACACACTGCAGTGGGAAAAAAAAAGAAGAAAGAGGAGAGAATTTCAATACCCAGAATGGGTCTTAATTTGAAAAGGAAGTATTGAATAGATGTGGGAGAGACTTGCAAAGGCCAATTATTACCAGATTTGCCGAATCCCATAAATTTGGGAAGATGCATAACAGGATAAGCAATTGTATCAGTAAATCCATGGATGACAGTGAGTGTGTTTGTGTGAGATACACATGAATAATGGTCACAATTGTGATACACATGGATGACAGGAGTGAATGCATGAGAGAGGCTGAGAGGACAGAGCAAACCAAAACCCATGCAGGTCACAACAATGAGTCTCATGGCGAGGAGGGTGATGGCAGTGAAGTTCCCAGATGAGGTATGCCAGCGTGATGGATGTTCTATAGAGACCCAGAAGAAGAGCCAAGCGAAGTCATTACAATATGCTAGCAATAGTCACACTACTTGTCACGATAAATTTGTTGGGATTGGCTAATCTTCATTTGCTTATGACAGGTGATCCATGGTGGAGAGGTGGGGACGTCAAACATCATGATGTGACTAGGTTATCGCTAACAGAGGGCGAACCAGGATGGAAGACAGATATGGGGCTATATGATTGAAAACTTTATTCCAAGAAAGAGTTCAAATTTGTGATCAACTGATGTATGTCTCGTATCAAATCCTATCGTAACAGAATAACTATTTGAAGTTAAGGCAGCATAGTATGCATTGGACCATGAGTGAACTTCCAATTTTCAAATTCATGATGCTCTGATTTTGACAGGATAGCAAGTTGAATGGTGCATCATGTATGAATTTTGAAAAAGAAAACTATGATTAATTTGAAAAATTTAATCATTATATTTCTCTTACAAGTTTAGTAATAATAGGAGTAGAAACGAGGAAAGAGTCAAAATGAATGGCTAGAAAATACCAAAAAGAATACAATTTCAATATCTTGAGTCGATAATCCAAGAAAATGGAGAGATTGAGGAAGATGTGACACATAAAATTAGAGCTGGGTGAACGAAGTGGAGATTGGCAACTGGACATTTATGTGATCACCGCATACCAATGAAGCTCAATGGCAAGTTCTATAGAACAACTGTGAGACCAGCTTTGCTCTATAGGGTGGAATGTTGGGCAGTAAAAAATAAATGTAGTGAAGATGAAGATGTTGATATGGATAAGTGGCGGGACAAGAATGGATAGAATTCGAAATTAATATATTCAGAAAAATTTAGGTGTGATACCAATCGGTGAAAAGATGAGAGAGAGAAGACTTAGGTGGACTGGCCATGTGTAGCACAGACCTAGTACACCTACTAGGAGGTACGAGTTAGTTCAAGCGGAAGGTTCAAAAAAAGAAAGGAGCTGGCCCAAAAGGACATGATTGAAAGTAGTGAGAAAAAATATAGGGCTTTATGACCTCCCTTTAGATATGACCCTTAATAGAACGGAATGACAAATCAGAATTAATTGGGAAAAGGCTTCGAAGATGATGTGATTTCTTGTAATAAGAACAATAGATGAATCCTATACCATTCCTAGATGAATCATCCACCATCCCATCCTGAACAACAAATGGTGAAGTTGAATCCTAAATATCCACCAAAGTCCGTCAAAGTATGGTTCATTTCCTTTTATCAAAAAATAAAAATAAAATGTATGGTTCATTTCCTGTGTTTCTTGTTAGAGGCAGGCAGTACATGAGCCACCTGTGGATGGTATGCAGTACATAAGACATTTTATGAAGTCTGTTAGAATTACCTATCCCAATTATGATACAAATACAAACATACTGCAAATTAATGCTGAATTCCACAGACAAAAAATGTTAACATCCAATTACCTGTTAGAATTTACCCAATTCTCCAACCCTGAACATGGCGATATGAAAGGAAAAAAGAAAAAACCAAGGGAATAATCCTTGATATCAAGAACACTTTTCATCACAATATTCTAGAATAAGAGGTGAATACGCAACCCTTCATGAGATTGATTCGATGATCATATTCGCAGGCTACATCCATAAGGACTACTTGATTTGAGACAAACTCCATTGACTTCATGTAGAGTGCTTGTCCTAGATGTCTATGGATACAATGCTTTTCTAGTTTATGTTGATGACGTTGTTATTACTAGATACTTCAACTAGATTTTCCAATGAACATAATCAAATGTCAATAGTTTTAAGATAATGAGTTTGCTTCATCCCCTCCAGAGATGTTCATCCTTACCAACACAATATGATTAAGAGCCCTCTCACAGGTAAATCTGGAAAATAAAAAGACATTGGAATCCAGATGTTGATTGTGATGTCTTCTCCATAATACACCTGTATCATAATTGTTACATATTATTAATAATTTAAGAAATTATATGTTTTGCTATTTTGATCACACTTCAAAAGCCTGTACATGGCAAAAGAATAAAAGAGGATTTGCTTGCAACTATCTAAATAAGAGACATAAGCAACAGAAATGCACTTAAAACATGAATCACAATGTGTAACAGCAGGATGTTTGCATAATCAGGACAAGATAGATGGGCAAATCGACTAGTATATGATAACCTTTAAGAAAGAAATATATGGTATTAGGCTTGCATATTTCACTTAGGAGTCACTACTTCTGACACATTCACTTCATAAAAAAAATTGAATAAATTATCAAGCATACAGCATCTAAAACATCATGTTCGGATACCAACTATGGTCCAGTTAGATTATGGCCAAAGCACCAGACATATGCTTACTACTTCAATAAGTGCATGTAATGCATTCAATTGACGAGGTGGTTTATATTCTGTGGAAAAATAAGATATCAAGAGACATTACATGTACCAGAAGTATGGCAGTCAATGTAAAGAACAAAACAAAAGAGTCCCAAAATATAATTGAAGACACATGAAAAACTGTGGTCAACATGACCTCGTAAGAAAGATTACAGAATTTGACTCTATAGCCAAGCTGATCTACCAGTATTTCCAGCAAATCAGTATCAAAGGTTCACCTTTTTTTATTATTCAAATCCACTAAAAAATTGTACTCCCTCAAATGAGAAAGAGATGCATGCTGCTTGTAGTAAAGTAAGGCAGCTAGCCATGGTAAAAGGGCAATATAACAATCCCCAAACAACTGAAGTTAGAGATATAACCAAAATTGGTCTGATTGCCAAGTAATTTAATTCAATAAATTCGATTCCATCTCCTAACATTATAAAAAATTCCATCTCTTAACATTGTCAAAAATAAAACATAAAAAAATCGACTCCATCTCATCTCTACTTTTCAATAACCAGACTCTGCGCATATAGTTGACAATGGACGGATTATGACTACCATAATATTACACCATTCACACCATGTTCTAAGAGTATCAAAAGAAAACAATAATTCACACGCAGTGAATAGTCTTCATAAGAACACAAACATGAAATCTCAAAAATCACTGAATTCTCTCACAAAAATATTTTATTTACGAGAAAATTTATGCTCAAGACACGGCATACTAACTTTATCAACACAAAATGGACTATGCGTCATATTGACAAAAATTGGTTCTGCTGAAACTGATCAGCAGATAAAACATGTAAAAAAATTGACTCATGATAGAGAACCAGAACTTACTGAACTCATGTCTGGGGCTGCACTTAGTCAAAAAAATCCCACAGCCGAAAGCAAACAAAAGGATTATCAATCAGAATCCCACCGCCGAAAGCAAACAAAAGGATTATCAATCAGAATTACTCGTTCGACTTCGAAAAGCACCAAGAAACCTCAATAATTGGAACACCACGTTTCCATTGAACCCATACAAAAAAATCCCACAGCCGAAAGCAAAAGGATTATCAATCAGAATTAGTCGTGGAACTTCCAAAGCCACCAATAAACCCCACAAAAATAACACCACCAACATAGAAAAAGGAAAAAACTATCCCAAAGAATAGTACAATTACACCATAAGAATAAAATCCCTAAAAAAAAGAAAAGGCCTGAAATGAACAGCAAAAGCACAAAGAAGAACAGAAAGAAGAGGATGACAGAAACGTTTCAGTCTAAGAAACCTGTCTTCTGCCAAACTGCGTTTCTCACCCTTCTAAGATCCCTGCCCTTCAAGGTCCTTCCAACCCCTTCGAACACAGAGAAGTTATCCATGTGTGATCTCGCTACTATCTCATGGGGTGGCATCCTCTCCTCATCGAAATCATCGCTCTCTTCCTCGAAAATCCCATGCCTCGATCTCAATCCCTCTCCTCTCTTACCAGACCAAACAGGTACATTTACAGGCGCTGATTGATGGAATTTACCAGAACCAGCACTTGATAAATCATCAGAACCAGACGAACCTTGTCGAATGGGAACAGGAGGAATTGCTCGAGCCGCGAAGCTAGGGTTTAGACCAGCTTGGCGTTGGACTAGGGTTCTATGATCCTCGGATAAAGCAGCAGAGAGGCCAAATCTAGCTGGTTTGAAGCCATGGCGACGATGATAGTTCGATGGGGGAGTTTCAGGGGAGGGTTTTGAGGTGGGTGGCGAGTTCTCAGGGGATTTTCCAGAGGAGTAATCGGTGGACCATATGACCTCGCTTTCGTCAAGCTCAAGAGGAGGGGAAGAGGAAGGGACGCGCAGGGGACCAAGAAAACGACGAGAAGGGGAGTCGTCTTCTTCTGGTTCATCCATGGTGAGGAGGAAAATCAGGGGTTTGGGGTCTTCAGTAAATTGGGTTTCAGGCCATGGGGAACAGAAACCGGAGTTTTAGCGGTGGGAATAGGGCGTTGAAGGTCGAATTAGGGTTTCGAGAGGAGAGATTGAGAGCCTGGTGTTCTAGCTGGTTTTGCTCTCCGGGTAATCAGATTCTTGAGGGGACGGAATTAGGGTTTGGAGGTTTAATGAGGATTTGCAGAGGGAGGGAGGGGATGAGGTCGAGGGGTCATCGCGGCTAGATCTCCCTTTCTCTCTCCTCTCTCCCTCTCACAGTTACATTTCCCAATTGCTCCCTCTCTGATGCTTCCCAATAATTCTCTCTCCTCCCGAATACCTCGCAATTACTCTTCTCGTCTCTCTTCCGGACGCTTCAATCTTCTCTCTCCTATCATCCTCCTCTCTCTCCTCTTTCTCTCTCTAAGATTTCAGTTACCAGATCAGTGGCTCGCTCACTCGCGCTGTTTTGCCAAATCCCCTTCTCCTGCTGCATGTTTCTCTCTCTAAAATGCGCCCTTGGCGCTCATGTTTATGAAATCAGCGTCTCTTTCTCTCTAAAATTCCCCCAATTCTCTCTCTCCTCCGTCTATTTTCTGCGGATTTTTGGCCGCTCGCTTATCGGAGCGGTTCTGGAGAGACATGCGGCGCCAAATAGCTGCGTCAAATGGACGGTCCTGATGGTTGTTGGTCGCACTATACGCCTATTGCTTTGTTTAAATGGACGGTCGTGGCCGGTCTGGTGGGCCCAACATTGCGATTTTTTTTTTTGTTAATTGAGAAAGATAGACCTCACTCACCCGGATTGGTCTTATTATCCCATGCAGGGTTATTTTTGAGGGGTATCGTCGTGGTGGTAGCACCTTTTCATCTCATTGTATTGTATGTTGCAGTTTTATTCCTACTGACACTTACAAAAATTACTAGCTATTTTGAAAAGAGACGTTACGCTATTTACGACTTTTCAAAATACAAAAGTTAATATTACTTTCTTAGTATTTTATTCATCAAGTTAAACAATTACGATAAGTTGTACCCCAAAATTCCATTATAAGACGTATTTTAGGTGTCGAAACTCTTATGATCACCCTAAAATGTATTTTTTGCTTTTATTATGGAATCAAGTATTGCATATCTAGCAAATCTATAAACACTTAAATATTTTGGTAATGGACGGTCTAGATAATGTGTTACAAGATGTATTATTATTATTATTTTAAATTCAAATTTTCTTTCATATTCATGCATATCGAAGTGAAGATGATCAATTGGAGGGTTTTCTAATGACGAAACAACCTGTTCTAATGAATTTTGAGGTGCACCTTACCGGTACAGTATAAGGTTGACACCTTATATAAACTTTTTCCATGTATAACTATCACTAAAAGACAAAGAATATTTTAGTCACCTCCATGCGGGATAAAGTTGGATATTATATAAAGTTGCAACTTTAAACAATTTAATTCAGAGGTAACCCCAAATTTTATTATAACATATAATCTTGGTCTAAACAATTGTGCTCTTACAAAATTTTCAAATTTATCATGACTTTGTGATCAAATTACCTATTAAAATAATTTTTAAAACAAAAAATAATAGTTTCTTTGATAAATATACCCATCACAATCCTTTCTAACATTAACATTTATATTTTGAGGGATTGTTAAACCTAGACAAATCTTTTTAAAAGGAGAAAAGTCTATAGAGTTGAGACTCTAAAAAATCAAATTAGAGCCCACATCAAAAATTTCATTGGAAGAGGTTATTTTGATGCCCAGATACCTTCAAATTGATTATCTCGACATCAAGATATATGGACATGGGAAAAAAATGGATTTCAAGTTTTGGAGATAGTGCATCTTGTAACGTATTTTTGGATCGTCAATTTTCAAGATTTTCAAGTTTTTATAGATGTGCTTGATCTACACTATTTTTGGAACTTTAAATTTTATAATTAGATATGAAAATATATTTTAAAGTTATCACAAACATTTTCAGTATTGAAACCAAATTTCTAAACACTATTTGATGGTGGGCTTTACTTTGATTGTTTAGAGCATAGGCTCTATACAAACCGCACCCTTTTAAATGACTTTAAAAAACCACTGACAATTGCCATTTCCACTTATGTCGTATAAAACTACTAACCATTTCAAAAACGTATCGGGCCACATATTCCTCATTGAATTACATAAAAAAAAAAACATATTTTAAAAAATAATGGGGAAAAATTAAACTTAAATAATAATTTTAAAAAGGTCCCTGAACTTAAGGCCCATATAAACCAATGTGATTCCTTAAAAAACCTAATAGAATTATTTATTTGGGAAAATTTCATACAAGCCCCTAAAATGGACTTTCTGATCAATTTTCCTCCCACCTAACTTTTTCTAACAACTTCCCTCCTAAAAACCATGTTTCCTAGCAAATATCCTTAATACAAAAAGTTCATTTTTTAAAATGAAAATTTTGGTTATGTGGCCTTTCAAGGCTGACCTTAAAGCTAATAATCTTACGTTCAGTGGGAGTTAGAGAGAGACTGAATCTAGGTGCTTGGTGCATTAGGGTTCAGATTCATATACTTCGAATATTTGAGGCATTGAGAGTATACGTTTTGAGAGTGTGAACTCTCGAGGAGGTGTGAGGGTCACCTTCCAGTCAGGACTATATTGATTAGAATATCTCATAGTTGATGCGATAAGCCAGGGCTTGGAGAATCTAATCGATAATAATAGAACTCGAGTATTTAAAAGAGTATTCGCCTTGTATGGAATGGCCGGCTGATAACACATAAGCTCGTATCCCGACATGAGACCGTTCCATGGCATCTGCACCCACAGTCGTATACGAAAGCTACTCTTCTATAGTATTATCCTACTTAGAAGAGCTAGCACACATGTTCTTTGAGAAAACCCCTGTATTTGAGTAGGAACATGTCCCACAGGGGTGTACCAGTAATCAATTTAACCCCGGTGATAAAAAGCTCTAGCTCAATGACTTTGATATGACCAATTATGTGTCTCTGCCATAGACTGTGGAGCATAGGTCCATTGGGTCGGCTTGAGATACTGGTGGAACATCATTCTGGTTAGTTTAAGGGAAAACGCCGACTAATGTTATAAGTCTAGAGATCTCATTTACCTTTGGCCCAAATTAATCTAAAATTGATGAGAACAGATTTTATATTGATGAGAAATTTTGTAATAATGTTGAAAAATCATTTAGAGAATTTTTTAGATTTTTTAAGAATTTTTTTAGATTTTTTTAAACAATAAAAATATGATTTTCAAATTTGTTTGACATAAATACTAAATAAGGACATTCTATGGGGATGCCACATGGTACCCCCACCTCACCACTCGTGGATGAAATCATGCTGACATCACATCCATGTGGGGACCTATTTGTCATTAATTTTTTTGTTGGTATTATGTTATAACATGTTATCTTGTTATTTAAAGTGTTATATATTGTTATGACTTAAGTTTGATTTAAGTCACATGTTTTTTTTTTTCTCATATGTGCTATTTTTGACATGTATGAAGTTATGAGATTTTCATAATTAATTTAATTCATATTATTATCCACATGATTTTGTAGCATGTGGGTATATTTTATGTGGCACCACCTTATGGGCTTGACCCATATGAAACTTTAGAGTTGTTAAAATCCTATTAGTGATGTCATAAGATATTTTATTCACATGTGTGAATGTCTCATATTACCTTTATATCCATGTTCTTGTCTTTTATTGACTCTCATAAATTATTCAAAAATCATGGGTATAAGTGTAAACATGAATTTGGACTTAATATGAAATAAAACATGAAGCTAAAAGCTTTAAGGTAAAATGACTATGAACCTAGGTTTTAAAGAGTGAAGGGTGTCAAAAGCTCATCCATTGGTGATAAGATATGGATGAGTGGCTTGGATAAAAGCCTCTGATGTGCTATTGATCTAAGGCATCAAGGATCAAGATCAAATCTATCTTTATGATCTAAGTATAAAAGTAACTTATGGGATCAATTATAACTATAACTTGAGTATTCATTTAAAAAGAGAAATAGCCTTTGAAAAAAATGTGGTCACCCTTGAGACTATCTTCTTCCTTGGGCTTTCATTTGAAACCCTTCCATGGAGTAGTCTTTTATTTATGTGATCAAGCCCATACTATTGCTTCATTAAGGTATTGACTTTTCTTCTCATATTTTTAATTCCTACCTCATTTCCATTATCAAAGCTTGCTCTAATTCTTAATTTACAGTAGCTTTCTTCATTTTTGATCATGAAAACTTGATATTTGAAGAGAGTCCTAAAGCAATAGTGTAGTCCATACACATAGTATGTGTAGATTAGCTTGCTTACTCCATGATCTTAAGTAGTTTCAACTTGATTTTTTTGATCTTATTTGTCTGAAATTTTTATTGAGAATCTACAACTGATGAGAGGTTTATTTAATCACATTTGAGCATAAGAAATAGTCCCTTGAGTTCTCTTTTTAATGTTGAAAAGTTTGTGTGGTCCCTTATGGACCAATGGTGTAATTTCACCATAACTTCCTTATTTTGTGTAGTATCTCTTTCAAACTTTGAAGGGCTATTTTGATATATGTCTCTCTCATGATTTGATCCCCATTAAGTGAAATAAATGTGATCATTTGCTTCCCATTGGATTGATCTCCTTGAGTTATTATTATCACCCGTGCCTTAGACAATGGAACAAAAGTAAGTCCTCAAAAGGCCCTTTCATGGCTCGGGCATAAGGGGTTCAACCATGGTTTCTCTATGTATGTTTTCATGTTAATTTGATGTATTTACAGTTATTAAATAGATTCATGATTGGTAAATTGAGTATGTTATGTGAATATTGAGATTGTTTTTTATTCTTGCGGTATGAGCTTTAATGCTATGCATTATTATTTATGCAAATTAAAATCTTATTGAATTATTATGATTAAGTGTATGATGTGTATAAGATATTATGATGTATGATGAGGATGAATAATGAAAATGAAATTATCATATAATTTTGATAGAATGAAGAATTGCGAGTGCAAGTCATGCAATATGTTGTAGAAATGTAAAATGTGAATATTTGAATATTATATTCAGTTTAATTGTATTTTTGATTAAGGGATTTGTAAGGACCTGTTAGGGTTGAATTTTATTATTCAAATGTGTATAAACCATGTTTGTAGGCTAGAATATATGTATTATGATTTTGTATTGAGATATTCATGCATTTAAACCCTTGAGTTTTTATATAATGAAATTTTTTTAAAAGATTGCATTGTTAGCCCATTGGTCGTATACCACCAACAGATGGTATCAGAGCAAGGCTCTAATTTAGTCCCTTAGTCCTCCTATATTGTGTATAATTTAATTTTCAAATTGCATAAACACTTGATCATGATTGCCATGATGTATGCGCTTTGAATTTGAGAATTGATAGTGTCATTGGCATGAGAACTGTGAATGAATATTTTTCAGAACTGTTATATATTTTAGAGAGAATAGTAGGGAATTTAATACTTTATATCAGAGAATGATATCTGATTGTATTTTGTATTATTAAGTGTATTTTCATATGAAAAAAATCTCATGACCATATTGTGTATATTTTAGAAGTTATTAATCGTTTATTAAA